GGGGGGGGGGCTTGGGACGAGGGGCGTGGTTGTGAAATGTGGGGTGTAGGCACGGGGCTTGGGTTAAATTCGTGGTCGTGTGACGAGGGCGCGGGGTAGGAGGCAGAGCGTGGACTTGGCCCTGGGAAGAGAATGAGTGACGTGGGCGTGAATGCGAGGTGGGGCTTGGACATGGGTGAGGGGCGTGAGCGTGGGAGGAACCGTTGGGAGGGTTTGGAGGGCCAGTCCCATCCTCTTGCACTGGGCTCAAGCACTAGCACCCTAAAGGTTGAGGACTCAAGAGGACAGGAAATCGCGAATCGGGACAGAAACTAAAGCAGGGCTTTTAGTGCAGAGGAACCCAGATAACGTGAACCTTTATGACTAGAATGTCTTGACGTGTCGAATTTTATTCATTTTTCTGTTAACATAGAATGCAATTAGTACGTGGTTAATATGTTGGAAAAGCGCAAGTGTAAGATTCTTACTGGAATGGCAAAGGCTCGAGATAGTTGTTTGGTGAATTTATCACTATACAATCTATTTTTAATTACATAAATTTATGACTACAAATCTATTATAAAATAGCCTCATTCAAAAGACCAATTTGCATCTTCCATTTCAAACAGTTTAGATTTCTTCTTGGATATTACTCGTGTGTTATGACATAAAATACTCAATAATTTGATATTTGTATATACCGTATTTGGAATCTTTAATCTGATAATAGTTATAACATTTTCTTCTTTTCAAGTCGGCAGTTAATCGTATATATAATATGCAATGCGCATGAACGCGTGAGAATGTTTTCTGATATTAACAATTCGTTTTAATCTTGAATCTTGGCGATTATCTTCACGGATGATATAATATTAATGTACGTGATTTCATTTAAACTGACTATATATTGAGCCTCATGTTTATTCTTGTTATGTATAAATTATTGTATTAAGACATTCAACTTTGTGCCGACTTTTGGCTATGAGGACGAAAATAAGAGTAATACTCCATACTTAAATATTGTTCGACATTTAGCATTGAAATCGGCCATTCACGATAATTATTACTCTTTAAAATTATTACATTTTTATTGAAGTATATCTATTATCCAAATCATTAAAATAGATTAGGAAAGAGTAGACATATGTTTTAGAGCAGCACAATCGTTTTTCCATCACATATATCTTGCAGTTCTGAAAATTTTTGATAACTGGAAACAATGTTATAAGCTACACATCGATTAGTTATTTCTTTGCCGTAATATGTGGGTATAAATAACATTTGTAAGAATGGTTACACTGCAGAAAACAACGCTTATCCAAAGTTGGCATTTCATGTAACTTGTCAACACATGACATGAAATAATTATTTTACCAGTAGTATTTTCTAACTCTGACACATTTCCATTTAAATTGTGCCAAATAGTCTCGAGTGTGAAATACAAGTACATCGTGTAGAAAATAATACTTTCTCTATCGCTTCGAACTTCAATTCAAAAATATCACATACACGTTTTGTTTGACATAAATTACAACAACGTTACTCACAATCGAAGTTTCGTAATTATTTATTTGTATTTAGTTAATTTTTGTAGAATTAGCTTGTTTTCAAGTTAAGAATGTTTCGTTACCATTCACGTGCGAATTTTTCAGGAACAAATACAAAATACAAATACAAATACACTCTTTTTTCCAAATACATTCTCATGCTCAGACCCACGCAATAATATATCTTCTTTTTTTGTAATGTGTTAACATACCTGGCACGAAAGAATACTATAATGCTCTATGACAGTTCTTAGTTATGATTAACTTATTGCACGTAAAGTACATACATGTACCACATTGGAGGATAATTGCTTGAATTCTAAAGAATCAGATGGAGTGTTCTTGATTTGTGTTATGTTTCAGTTTTCTGAAATAATAATGTTAAATAAAATAAATAATCCAATAGGTTTTTTATTAAAAAAACTCGAAATTTTTACTTTCTGTATTTTTTAGAAGGTAGCAAATATGACAATGCGCTTGCAATATCTCTGAAATACGGAGAAACTGCTAAATTGCAGTCAGGTTCATGGCACCGTAAGATGCTCGTTTTCGTAGATGGCTTATGAAATGTAAGTTTATTTCCTCTAGCGCGTAAAGTTACATCGAAAGATTTGTGTTTCGTTATAATAAAATTCAGTGAAATGAAGCGATTATTAGAAAATCTGTAACTGAATTTACTCAAATACGTCCTTAAATATCTCACGAATTTGCTGAAACATTCGGAAAATTGTCACCAAAATCTTTTTCTAAATTCTTTGAAATGGAGAAGTAAAAGAATCTCTCCCCTTTTGTCATAGAAACGTTTAGAACAGTCTCGTGCATAACGAAAATTTGTTGTTTCAACAAGGACAATATTATTCTCGCAGAACATTTACAATCGTTTGTACACCAAATGAAAAACGTTGGGGCCCACAAAGCATTGCTTTTGTTACATTTACGAAAATGTAAGTACATTGCATTGGACCGACACATTTTTTTTCTCGCGACATGATCACATTCATTTGCAATGAGTTGGCGTGGTCTATGGATGAAGAGCGAATGGATGCATGTATCGAGTTCAGAGGCTCCTTATCTAATAAATTCATCGCCGAAACGAAAAATTATCCGCCTCCTATTTCTTGGAAGCAAACGGAACATCAATCGTCGGAACTGAGTTTAAAAATCGCTCTGTATTAATGAGTATAGGAAGTGGACGGGGAAGATTCCACTAGACTCGCCGTAAATGTCACGTTCTATGGGCGTCAGACGTCGAAATATGGGCGCTGCGAAATATTTCTGTCTTGTTCACTCTCACAGATTCTGACCCACAAACTACACATGCCACACACACTTGACCAGGTAGCCAAATGTAAGTACGGTGTGCAGCAATATTTTTAATTCCATTTTTACTGTAGACATTAGATATTGTTAGAACACGGGCAGTGTTTTGTGTTGCATACATATTGAAGTCCGAACCTGAGCACTTAAATCTTACTTGAAAGTAATTTAAAATCAAACCATTTAGAACACTACGTAATCAAGAAGGTCATGTGCCTTCAAAGGTTGTAGTGATTTGCAACACATAGCACTTGCTCTAATGTAGATTGCATGTTTTATTGGCTGTAGGTTCAAAATTATTTGTTCTGTACTGCCTTTCATGGCACAATTTGTGCACCAGAATTTTTAATGAGAATATTCGTATTTATATTGTTCAAACTTAAACGTAGACTGATTGTGCCTTGTGAAGTCATAATTCGCATCCAGATGTTCAGGTTTTGTACTGTACATTTGGTTTCACTTGACACGGAATTTTGTGCACTACAAAGACACACCTTGTTCGGTGTCTGTTTTCTGTCATGCAGCTAATGCATCCCTAGAGCAAGTATAAAATGCGCAAATATCCATATATTATTTTATATGATATGATAGATTTTTAATTGATTGAATTCGATAGCATGGGCATTTTCTCGAATAGAAATACCAAGTGATAGCCTGCCTGCTTTTTGCAAGAATTATGAGCATTATAATCCAATTTCTTATTAATACTATTATGGAGACAAATTTAATTCATTGGTTATTTATTAGGAAGGTGTCCTATGTCACAACCTATCCTTTTTGGAGCGACAAGTATTAGATTAGTTCCTATCATCAGCTTTTTAATGATAACTTGAGGTATGGCAATTTAGATGTTACAAGGATAAACACAAACAGGAATAGCATATTCGGTAATGTAGTCTTCATTAAGTTAGTTATGTAATATGAATGCAAATTTAATCGAATATAATTTAATAGAATGAAGGATGCTGCGTTTTTAAACATTTTCTTAATTAAATACATTTTACGTACAGTAGTGACAAAAAAAAACAGTATTTGAAAGCTTGCACAATACTTTATTTTTAGATTGCTTTGCATCTCATTGCATTCGATAAAAATTTATGTTGACATACTTGATTACGTTCTGAAAAGTTGCATCTTCTTTAAGGGAAGGAAAAAAATAGTGCAAAGTATTGTTAGTTTCAGGGATATCATCCATTAATAGGAACATCCAGAGAACACAGAAGACAGGAACTTATGGAGATTGAACATACAAATACATGGATTCTCATAATAGGGAAATGTGCAAGTTCAGTACACCCAAAGTTTACATATTTTTAAGAACTCTTGTTGGCATGCATGCGAGGCGTGACACAGTGCTTGTGCATCCCCAGAGCAACTGGACCGCATCGAGGAAGGCATGGACCAGATCAACGCTGACATGCGTGAGGCAGAGAAGAACCTGACAGGCATGGAGAAGTGCTGTGGGCTGTGTGTGTTGCCCTGCAACAAGTGAGTGCTGTAATAGCGCACCAAGTGGTAGGTCTTCACACTGCCTCTCACCACTGCCAGTAGGTGACACTATGCATAAACATCTTTCCGTGTTTCACTATGCTGCTATCTTGTATTTTCTTCTGTTTCACACTCATAGACAATGACCATCGGAGGAACAAGAGAATCAAGTTTATAGTACACAAGTAACAGAAGGTACTAATTTCTTTGTTACCTTTGAAACATGTTCCCTCTCTAATTCTTTTAGATAATATTATGTGCCTGTCTGAGAGCAGTTGTTTGTACTAACATCCAGTAATGATTAGTGCAGCAAATGCCAGAAATGTTTCTGATTGCTCAGTTTGCATTCCATCTTTCTGTCTTCATGATATAAAATTTGTATGTTTGCAGGGTTTCTCTCTCTGATAAGTAACACTGGGAATAACCTCTGTATCTGTTTCTCATTGCATTGTTTTTACTACATTAGCATTCGCATTGCTCGTTTTATTTACTCATTTCCTGTTTTCATTAAATATTTTGTTATTTACTAAACAACAAACAGGCAAGTTACTCTCTTAGCTACACAGCTCCATGGAGACTGACTCTTTATCCACTATTAGAGTGAGTAGGGTATTCCTCCTGCTTCGTTCCCAGTATATGGCAGGTTTCAATTTTCTCGGAGCGCAAGGCCTGACTCCACTTCCCTGGCTCCTACCATTACCTGGAACAGATGTCACTTGGTATGTATACAAACATCATTCCCTATACCTTTCTTTTCAGAATCGGTGCTTTCTTCTATGTGCCTGTATCTAACACAATATCTTTTGCAGATCGTCAACATTCAAAGAAGATGAAGGCACCTGGAAAGGAAATGACGATGGAAAAGTGGTGAACAATCAACCCCAGCGTGTAATGGACGACCGAAATGGTCTGGGTCCTCAGGGTGGATACATAGCAAAGTATGATACACTTCACAATACCTGTATGTTACTTTTACAAAAAATACACCGATGTAATTTAATAATTAAATTTATTCTCTGAGCCTTATTTTCCGACACAAGCAATCTTTTTGGAAAATTATTATTTTTCTCTTAGGGCCCAGGTCCAATTTAATGTACTATTTATTTATTTATTTATTTATTTATTTATTTGACATAGAAAAGAGTTAAAAACATTGTGTATGGCACACTATGGGAAGAAGTGCAAACTGTGCACGTTTTCTTGAGCTCTGAATCCCTACCTTAGCTCGTATAGTATAAGCGGAAGTTGTATTGTGTATAAATGTCAGTGCGAGCGGTTTTGCAAATAACTGATAAGAAATATTTGCTATCTTTTAATGAAAACTACTTGAACAGTTAAATGATCTGCAGATTTTATATGTTATCTCTGATTGTGTCATACATGAAGAAATCGACGCACTGCCGCGGGAACATTATTTTGACTATTCCACCCGTGAAATTAAATCCAATAGTGTTTAACAAATGAAATGCCGCAATCAGGACGATGTATCTCAAAAAGTTTATCGCCTTTTCTATCTGATTTTGCTTACTGATTCTCCCTACTGGCCAAACAAAAACTGTGTGACTCATCTATTTTAGAAGGCGGTGTACATCGAACTCTATGTCGATGTTCAATAAACAGAGTATGTACTATAACATTACATCTTTATTTTTAACATAGCTTTCAATCATTTTCAATATTTGACGCATTTTCGAACTCTGTTGAACATAATATCACTCCTATTCAATACCACTCGTGTTTTGGAAATTCTCAGACACTAAATCCCAACCTCGCTTTGCGAGTCGAGAATTTATGGACAATTTCCAAAGCACTCGTGTTATTACCTATGATAACTATATTTCTCACGGAGGCCAAGAAAAATTGAACAGATAGTAAAGCTACAGTTATGTTCAGAAGCAAAATAAGTGGCAATATCAGCATTTGCACAATGGATCAAGGGAAAGTGGACGAAAAATTGATCGTAACGGGGTAATCGACCCAGAAGCTGGGATATAATACGTCTTACGGGCATATTTAACCTTTTAGAATTATATTGTTAAAATGTTTACAAACGCATTAAATATCATTATAAAAATAAATATTACTTTCCTTTTCGATGGTCAGTGTAGTCTCTAATTATAAAGAAATATTTAAGAGCAGAAAAATGTTTTCTTACTTCGTAAACGTGTGTATCGATTTTAAACGTTTAATGACACCTAGCAATGTGTTTTAAAATAATGTACATGTATGTGAATTTTTTGTAGTGAGCTGTTGGTACTGATATCTCATGAATGAGATTCTCACGTCGAGTTCTAAAATTATAGACATCTGTATTGGATGGAATGTTTTCCCACCCTTGAGTAACCAGGTTTTGACAAAAACCACTGGTTCGTAAATGAAGAGGCAAAGCAATGGTAGAATTCCTAGCTTAATAAAAAGATGGGGACAAGAATCACGTGGGTGGGATTTGCTTAATATTCGTAAAATTATTTTCTGTAATACACGTCTGGGAGCTATAGATGTGTTTCCTTAGAATAGTATGTCACATCTCAGGCGGAAATGAAGACTCGCGAATTATACACAACGGGCAGTATGAAGGCTGACTGAAATTGAAAGAATTTTGAAGGTGACAGTAGGTGGAATTTCACAGTTCCAAAATGCACCCATTACCTTGTCTCGTGGTACAATTATCAGTACATTAGCATCGGGAGGAAAGAAACGGCTACGGCCTTATAAACATACGCATCCTGGCTGGAAAGTCGGTTATGCTAGGTTGAATCGCAGCCCACCGCACAAGTTATTGGTGGTCGTCTATCTTAATACAGCACCTGATAATGTAATAATTCACTGTATTCTTTGTATGTTGACAATGGACGTATTTCAGCCGATGGTTTGGCGTTGCCATGTCTCGGAATAAAGGGACCGAAGGCCCAATCGCTCCGTGAAGGTTCTCGTGTTAATCTCGTCATGCACGGTGTACGCGGGAACGCTACTCGGCCGGGGGTAGCATGATGGAAATAAGATTATTTCTACCATGGAGAGTAGTTGAAGGTAGTGATGCGACATCGACAACGAAACATCCATGTTGCCAAACATGGATTTGAAAATTGAAACAGTTAATAATACATCCACCAAAAACCTTCGATGTTTTTAAACATCGATGTTTTAAAGCTTCCGTAGAAATCTCCAACATTAAATTTGTACGCAACAAAATTTAATTAGAGCTAAGAGTTCAAAAATTCAAGCTAGAGTTCGAAAACTATTATCTTCAGAAGATATAGAGACGTTCTTATTGAACGTGACAATGTCACAAGTACGTGCGGTTTCCGGTTATGATGAATGACTAAATCTCCAGGTATGTTTGATTACACAGGGCGTCTTTTTAAAACCTGTACGCAATCGAGAACTACTACATGGTGGGAAATGGCGCTTCAATTATTCATATATTAATCACCCGAATCTCCGGGCTGTAAGTGGCGGCACGCCGGGGAAAACGAGTGAAGTACCATTTCACCACGCAAATACAACAAATTTAAGCGTAGGAAAGTTGGAATAACTATGAATTCAGAATCTTTGGGTCTAGAAGCCTTCCTTTTTTCTTTTGATGATTCTCTTACGCCTGCCTCCCGGTATCGAGGGAACTGTCTCCTTGTGCCACTATGAAAGACGTGTTTTATGTTTCTTGTCACTGAATGTCTTCAATTTTGCGCTTAGTTTGTCATACTAAGCTTTCTCCTAAGACGTTTTAATGTATACCTTTGAACGAATCTATTTTTTTACTCTCTTCTATCTCTTTATCTGTGTGTGTGTATCTTAAGTCAATTTTAACCATGATTTGTGTAATAAACTCCTTCTAAAGTACTTTCAATGGCAAATTTGTGTTGCAGAAACACATAAACACTCCAGAAACATGTAAATTGTTTATTAATGACAAAAGGTATTAATATATTTCTTTAAAAAAAAAAAATTAAATAAAAAAAAACAATTGAATTGTGTACATTTTGAAGTTTTATTTTTGTGTTAATTGTTCTTTCTGAACAAATACATTCATTTCTAATGTAAATATTAAACAATTTACATATTTTTGGAGTGCTTATATGTTTCTTAAATGCAAATTTCTGCACAGAAAGCCTTTTTTCAAATCAAATTTTGAGTGCTTATTGCGGCTCAGCCATTTGAAATCTCGAAAAACTTTATTACACAAAAGATGCTTAAGATTGACTTAAGAGCTTATTTTTAAAGTTTCGTTGTTTCTTCTCTGGATGCCCTGTATATCTGTGTGTGTGTGTGTGTGGGTGTGTGTGTGTGGGAGGGGGTGTGTGAGTGAGTGTGTATTAGAAATACATATTTATTATAACTTTTTAACTGTTTTGATGTAAAATAAATACAAATAAAAAAAAAGAAAAAAAGTATAGAACACACAATTTATCTAATCGAAATTTGCTGTACGATTCTTATACACCAATTATCTTATAGAATTCTTTGGAAATCATCATTTACAACTGTTACTTGTTATGTCTAGGGTCACAAATGATGCTAGAGAATCTGAGATGGAAGAAAACATGGGTCAAGTGAACACCATGATAGGCAATTTACGTAACATGGCACTAGACATGGGATCCGAGTTGCAGAACCAGAATTCACAAATAGACAGGATAAATCGCAAGGTATTGTATGATAATGTTTCACTGTATTTGACTATCACATCCATTTCTAGAAATTAAAAATTTTTAAAATTCAGAAAAATGTTTTATAATATTTTCCTGGGCTCTTACATCTTATCGTACTCCACATGAAGGAGTCATCTCACGAGAACACTCTACAGTGCTCATCTATTGTATCTCATTCTTATAGACAGTTTGGTTGCATATTTAAAAATCAAACTAAACCCCACAAAAACAGCTATCAAAATATTTACTCTAAGACCCTATACACCTTATAGCATAAAATAAGATACATCAACTAAAACCCATCATCAATCAATCTTCCCACCTCCAATTCCTAACAGCAATGACCATATTCAAAAATATCATAAGACCACTCCTCCTTTATACCTGTCCAGTTGGGATCTCTGCTTCAAAAACAAACATTTAGCTTCAAAAAACCAGAACCAATTTCCCTTAGAACGATCACAAATACTTTTTGGTTTCTCACAAAGTTACAACTCCAAAAAGAATTCAAAATTTACTCCATATAACATATTATAACTTACCTTTCCACCCAGTTCTATCACTTCTTACCTCAAGTTTCACACGTGGACAACTTCAGACTACAGACCGCCTCTCCACTTCACAGAACGAGAATTAAAAATAGATATCTATAGCAGGCATTCCTAGCCAAATTTTTCAAACTAAATTGTTTTTAGAGGTATATGAAGAAGATTTCCTCACCCATATTTGTTTGTAATGTAATTTTAGGTAAATTAGAAAGTAAGCTGTCACTACATCTGTAAAGTCTAATATGTACTGAACTCTGTATGCTCTGAAACAAAATTAACAAAACATAATAATAAAACGACTCTCTTCTCCCATAACAGAGAGAAAACGAAAGGGCATCTTCTAAGCTAACGTCATAACTTATTTATCACTGTGTATAGATTATCTGTTGTTATTACTTAGATTAATTATAAGTTATAGGTCCATATTTGTTAGACAATCACCTTTTTTGATAAAATAAAACAGTAAACTGAAAGATCTAAAACATTGTTTTCTTGTATCAACATAAATTTGTAACTGATATTGAAATATGTCAGATAACTGAATTGTCTTAATTATGAATAACAAGAAAAACAACATTGGTTGTGTATTATATTAAGTTTTTTGGTACAATTTTATACTGCCTTCTTAGAGTAGTATTTCTCTTATAAACAGATCCCTTTAAAATTTTCGACAGCAGACAATTTTTTCAATTATTTTATTTCATAACAATTGAAATTTAATCTTATGACTATATTTTCCCAGTCTTTAATGATGATTTGAGAACTTTTGTGCCCCTATTTTCAGGCCTAATGACATAATACAATTCATCTTAATTCCTCATTGTATAACATAGCCTAAGTAGAGTTCTAGATAATTATCATATAAACACAAATTTACTGTTTTTTTATATATCATGATTTTGAAGGTCCAACAGGTCTCATTATCTGATTTGTGGTGATTCGCTGGGGAAGTTTATACATTGTTTAAAATGCCTAAAAGTTTTCAAAATTTTTAAAATGTTCCTGAAATTTAAAGCTATTTCTAGAGAAGATTCACTTTTAAATTACCAATTTTAAGAAAGTAGAGTTCACTAATTTGTAACAAACAGTAATCCTGCTTCAAATCCATCTTCAACAACAGCAAGCAGATGCTATGAAATATCCACATCTCAATACAAAATCCATTCAAATAAAAATATTGAATAAAAAAATGGTTTTGAATTGATATATTAGTCCAAGACAATAATTTTAAAAGATTATGTGTTATTTTCTTAATGCTTATTCTTTAAAACTAATGGACGAAATTTATTTATGTAAAAAAATAGTTCAACTTATTGTAATGGCAAAATTAGTACTACACTACTTTTATTTTTTATGCAGGGAGCATCTAATGAAACACGAATAGCTGTGGCGAACCAGAGGGCGCATGAGCTGATGAAGTAATCTGGAGGAGTTACCAAGGAAACCTTCTCATCATTACAACTTACAACAAGTGCTTAATAAATTTACATTATTATGTTTCCAGTAGCGCAGTTGGTTTTAGCATGTTTTGCTCCTGTGCATTTCAAAGAAACATAGTGCACAGTTTTATCTGTTAACGTAATTTTTGTGTTTCAATAATAACATTTGGCATTGTACTTGATATGGCTAGTATAAAATGGACACTGTATAATGAAGAAATTGCAGATTTCAATGAAATATTCAAACTTCAGCTTTGTTTCGTTTTTTGCTATTTCCTTTCAATGCATACCTAATGTGATCCCATTGGAATGTGGTTTTGATGGAAAACCTTGCTTGGTGTCTAAAATTAAGTAAACCACCAGTTGGCAGATAAATCTGCATGGATTAGGCATCATGACTGACAGTGAGTAAAAAGTCTCGTGTATAGTTGCCATTTCAAAAAGCCAAGGTATGAGAATACTGTTTTCCTATTGACACTGTCATAATTTATTTTATTTTAAAGTTGCTCTTCCTTCTCTCTCTCTCTCTCTCTTTTTTTATTTGATGGAGAATAGATTAGGCTATTAATTATTGATGCCTATTTAATTTAGCGTATTTGTAATATTATACCTTCCTTTCTCATTATGAAATGATTATTGATGGCTTATTCTGTACATAAAGCATAAACATATTCTCAGTATCAAAATATATGTTACTATGGTGTTTTGATGATCAGTTGTAAAAAACAATGATGATGCAACGGACTGAAATAAAGATACAAATTGGTTATACTTGTAAGAAGTGTTCTGTGAGTACCATATCACCATATTGTTTCTTTCAGAACCTTAAATTGTATTGTATTTCTTATTTTTTGCAGCAGGAGAACATATCCCTGCATATTTTTTTATGCTGCTTCTCACAAACATGACTTGAAGTTTTTATATATGCTTTCTCCAGGGCTGCTGAAATATTGCAATTCTCCTTCAATTTGGAAGTGATTCAATACTTCACTGCTAAAAATGCTCTTTCTTTTGGATATATCTTTTTATTAACAATATGTAATTATATATAGGTGTTTTATAGACATAGTGTGCTGCATCTTGTAACTGGTATTTTGTATAACTACATCAGAGCATCTGTGATTTCTGCAGCTCTGGTGTATACACTTCTATCTCATGAAACCGTCTTTATCATATATGTCATGAACTTAAATTTTATAGGAAATTCACATAGAAACAAAGAAACAAAGTTAGAGATAGAAAATTGGAATTTTAAGTTGCTCTTTTCATTTTCCTTGGATTGCTCTTTACTTTGAATTATCCATAACATGATTTGAACATGAAAACATAGCTCTTAATTAGTAGATCAAAATTACTATTTTTCCAAGAATTTGCGCTCCTGTATTTTGATGTATTGCAATAACTAATTTTCATATTGTAAAAAAAGAATTAACAAATAAATATTATTCATGTGAAAGAGATCTTACTATCAATATAAAATTATATATTAGATTACATATTGAATACAGTTTAGTATGATTTTGATGTAGTAATCATTTGTATAATTGTATAAAAATGCCCCTAAGTCCCAAGAGAAATACCAATAATTCATAATCTGAAATATATTTCTTAATGTGCTTTACATATTTTTAAGAAGACTTTCTCTGCATTGGCTTATTAGAATCAGTTCCTCATTGCTAAACTGAAATAGAATTTGCCTACATGCAAAATATTGTGCATAAAATTCTGAGATAAATTTCAATTTATGTACTGAATCTCAGTAATGTTGTAGAATACATGTAAATAAATGTAAAAATTGAAATATGCAGATTACAATTTTCTAATGAGTATATTAGTTATTGCGCTGAGCCTTGGGACTATTAGGGGTAGAAAACAATAGAAAGAAGTAAAGAATGTCTCTTTCTGTTATAATAAATGTCATGTATTTTATCAATTGTTGCTATCTCTAAGTTTCCAAATGGAACTTCATGAAATAGAACAACTAGAGCATTGTAAAGAGCCATTCTGACAGGTTTGAGTTAGAAAATTTAGTCACCACTTTGCTGTCATTCTTGTTCTAGAAATACACCTTTGGCAGGGGTGAATGCCTAATGATGGGGTATAATTGACAAAACATATCTTGAATGATTGCCTTCTTATATGTGATATTTATGTTTCAAACATATCCAGCTGAACAGCTTTCTTAATTGATCTCTTCACAAAAATATTATTTACATAGGCAAAAATGAAAAACATTTCTAAGCACATTATTTGAATAACAGTGTGTGTTGATTTCTCAACAGAGTTTTATCTTTCACACTGTTGTGCACAAAAAATCTAAATATTGATAGAGGTAGTTTATGGAAGGTAGTATGTCGGTACCAGTGCCAAAACATACACATAGGACATGACCAAATTCACCCCTGCTAATGTAGCAAATTCTTGAATTTACCTATTAACATACAAATGATGTCATTAATGAGGTACACACTTAATGTGTAAAGGAAGATATCCTTCAAATTGTGATGTCTTCAAATAAATTGTACGTGTTGTCAAAATTATTCTTCACTACTTGCTGCAGTCTGTGTTAATTTAATTTGATTTTTCTTGTGTGATACCATTATCTAGTTTTAAGCAGTGCCTTATTTTAAAGATGTCTGGTGCATGTTGGTGAAGCATTGAGAAATGTATAATTCCTCATTCATTTATTCAAAATATTTGTTGTCGTTATTGCTAATGTTATAATGCTGTTTTTGGAAGACTGTAGTTAACAGTCTAATGAATGTGGAAGTTATTCCAAACTATACCTACTGAGAAATTTTTAAAATGCTGATTCAAGGAATTTGAACTTCCACATCAACATGTTTCACAGTTTCTTGTTTCACTGTTATTTGTAGAAAGCTTTATGAGTGTTAATGAATACTCAAAGTTGTTGTGTTGAACATGAATAATCTCATATTGAATTTCATATTCCTGGTAATCCTGTTGGATTTATGAACGAGGGAATTGTACCAATATGGCCCTCATAGTTACTTCATCTTTACTATGCACATACTATGCAATGCCAACTATACTAAGATTAACATGAATACAAGCAGAACCAATTTTCAAGTGACTCATCAGTGATAGATACATTTGCATAAGAGTTTACTATAATTCTACTTGAAGCAACACATAATTTGGAGCAAGATTCTGTCACAAGTTGGAGGCAATACTAGTATCTCATTTAGATGAAATATTTGGCTGAAAATATACTCAATAATAGCAAAATAGTACAATATAATTCAGTAAATACTGCAGTTTCTCTTATTTGTAAGTGAACTTAAAATGGTAAAATTGTAAAATTTCAATTTTTTAGAATCAAGTTTGTGGTGTGTGTAAAAATGTGCAGTTTTATTGAAGGCTCAATTAGCATTCAGATTGTTCATTTTTGAACATGTTCTGTAATGGAATTGTAAAAAGATTCAGTGTCAATTATACGTATGATTAATGATGAACTGGAAGATAAGTAGGGTTAAAATGATGCAACTTGCTTTCTTAATATTATACAGTTTTCAGTCTTAATATTGACATCTTAATCTACATATTCTCTATTCAAGTCATCAGCATACGTATGATTGTTACTTTTTGGTTAAATTTGAAAGAATTAATTTGAGCAAAAATAACAGTAAGTTCCAAAGCAAGCACCAAAATTATGATACAGCAAAAAACAACATGGAATATAGTGCTAATTGTAATCACATACCACAGAGGCAGTTTTAAATATTTACAGTAATAGCTATGTACATTATTGAGTCGTTAGGATTATCTGTGATATTCCTTTTGCATGATTAAACATATCTGTGTATCTGTGTACTCTGGAACTTATTTTTCAATTGTAATTCGTATGAAACATTTCACATCAGTATTAAGTCTATATTTATTTGGAGTCTTTTGTAGAATATAACTTCATCTCTTCAAAGATGTGAAATTTTTTCTAGGAAAAGAATGCTTGTTTCTTGAAATTATGTAATGCAGATTAATTTCTTTAAAAATACAATGTGGCTTATCATGAAACTTAATTACAACCTCCTCTATCCCTGACAACTTCTTTTAATTTAGTATGAACATTTAGAGTAGAATTGAAGACAATAATTTCAAAATCCACCTTATTTTTATTGAAACGTTTTTGAGAGGATGGAAAAAACTTCCCCAGATTTTATTTATTGTGCTGAAACTAGTTATTGATGATGATATTGATTATCATCACCATCATCAGATAATTCATTCACATATTGCCAAACACACCTGTTCATAAATATTACTGCTTTACACTGAAATATACTTACGTTTTGGAACTCAATCATGAACCAGAGGGTTTTAAAACAGTCATTATTGATGAAGACGAACGTAATGAAAAGAACCCACATTGCTATTAAGCAATATATTTATTTTTATTAGGTAAAGCTTTCTGATTTGCAAATTCCAAAATATTGTTAATATTCTTATATCCAATCCTTAAAACGCATCTATACGTGCTTTTGCAATTTGTGAATTTTAAAATTTTTTTCCAACTTTCTTTGCGATTTGTACGTGTCACGTCAAATCAATTTTTGAGTTACTGTGCAACTGTATGAACCAATTTAAGCAAACTAATGAATCTATCGACATGAAATTTAAATACATTATGAACACTAGCTATGTGACCAACGTAGGTATCCCTGACGGTCCCTAACGGTTATTACTTTCTCGCCTTACGAATTCTTCGTAAAAAGAGAAAGTTATGTAATCGTGCAACAGAAAACGCCGAAATTTTGCCAGAATAAACATCATTGCCGGCTTCTGGTAATGAAAAAGTGGATAAATCCTGTTGATAAATTTAGAAAAATTCCTCTAACTCGTGGTGTTGCCAGAATCCAAGTTTTGTTGGTTCTTGATACAGAAAAATCGATTGTCGGCCAAATATCCGTCTGTCCGTTTGTCTGTCTGCCCTTCTGTTGTTAACGCTAGTGTCTAAACCGTTCAGCTGATTTTCTTTACAATTGATGTACCCTGATTGATCTTAACGGACTGGAGACATTGGGAGTTTCTAACGGATATTTTGATTGCTGAAGGGTTTTTTTACATAAATCGGGCATTTACCTTTTTATACCTTTGTCAGAGTTCTAACCATGCGGCGCTTCTGTGACGTAGTGATATGAGTGCCAGCCTGTTGGCTCTGAGGATCTGATTTCGAGAAAAAATAATTAGCTGCTTGACAACACTTGCTGATTATGTAGTAGTGTATTGTTGCGGAGCTTTTAGATCAATGCGAGAAAGTATGTGTTTTGGCAGCTCCACTAGTTAAAAAAGGTAAAGGCGAATTTTGGAACGGGTTGTCACAAATTATGCAATTGGAACGACGGTTGATACACACTACATGTTCTAAACTTACTGATAGTCTGACAGATTTACATCGTCTACAGATTACATCTTCATGTTAGGGATGATTTATGCTCGCGCTTTTATGCAGTAAAGGCATACAAGGTTTAAATAAAGTAGTGGCAACACTGTTAGAGCATTTCTAAGCGCCGTACATTTATTCCAAGGTAGTGGAGGGCATCGGTTGGAGCTGTGACATTGTTTGAAAGGAAGAAGCAGTGCCCACGAAAAGTCTTTGGCAATGATGCATGACCATATCGGATAGTATAAGTAAGTAGATTTATGTAGTACTTTCTTACAAGTAGCATATTCTGTTTTTGCTTTCTACATAGACTGCCTGCGTATATTCAATAAGCCTATTCGGTGCGGTTAGAGTCTGTCTGTGGAAGAATTGGGTACTTAGCGAATGTCAAGCAAATTTAAATTGGTAATTCATAACTTCATTTTTCCAAAAGAATACTCGTAATAATCGTAAAGAATACTCTAATATTGGTACGCGCGAGATGTTAATGGCTGTTACAATATTCTTACTAGATAATTTTGTATTGGGTAGGTACTTGAGTTATTCTACTTTAGTGCATTGCTGTGAAAGTTTTCTTTAGCTGGGCGTGTTCAATCCTGGAGTTCTGTCACAGTCCAGGATATTTATACACAGCATCCGGTTCCAATTCTGCAATACTGTAGCGAAACAGCGCGCCGTGATAGTAATACAGGAAAAGTTGTCTAAATCGGAATTTGTACAAGCGGGGAAACCGGCCTTAACCGGAAAATTTCTCCGACCCGTAAAGTTAAATGGCATTTTACGTAGCATAAAACGGCATCTGTCCAACACCGAAACGAAACGGTTTTTATCTCCTACAGGGAGAAAATGCTTTATGAAGCGGAATTTCTGTAAATTGGCAGAGAGGCGCAAGGTATTCTTATTCAAAAGAATGCATCTGTATATCTGTTTTAAATTGTCTATCCCAATGACCCGAGATTTAGTCGTGGCTGCCGTACAGTGGAGAAGGCTTCAGCTGACAGCGTAGAATTTGACCTTGGGGTCGCTTGCCTCGCAAGGCGCGTACAGCTATTTTTTTCTAGGGTAGCCGCTGGGGTTCGCGAGTGGAAGGGAAGCTGAAAAAGGCAGGGAGAGAGCCAGGAGGCGGCGCTCGCTTGCGGCTGGCCCGTCAGGCCATACCAAAAACATTAGCCTACCGTACCGCACCGCACGTGCTAACGAACTTCCTTGGAAATTGCTGTAGGGTCTTCGCTCGCTAATGGAGAAACACCAAATTAACGGTTCTGCTCTCATAAGATATGGATAATGATCCAGCTCTGCTCTCATCCATATATTATCCACTGTCACCAATACCCGTTTCCTCACTACCATAACTAGTATCATTATCACTGTCCCTACAATCGTTTGCGTCGTTTCCGGTAAAAATAACGATTTCTTCATATGGTCTATTAAATCATTGTGCGGCGAATCAAATTCTCATTGAAACCGTCGAAAGCATATTCTACGTCCTTTCTCTTCCTCTCTTCATTAGGAGTTGGAAATGAACATCTTTCTCCCGATTGAACAGAATAAATTTTCTTTTTAATTCTGCGAATAGATCTTATCGAAACACGCGAAGCAGCAACTACGCCCTTAAGAACTGTTTTGATATTTATAATACCTTTATTTGCTTCTCTCTTCATCAATTGATAAACTTTTGAAACTACGCGTCTGACTGTGAAGGACGTTCTTATGCAACTTCCTGTGAACCAGATGCATTGCAATGATCACAACAGGACTTCACACAAATCGCTTGACTCGGGTAGAGAAACGCAACTAAAAACTTGCCCCCCGCGGAGTCGAGTAGTCAGGGTCAATGTTTACACAACTGGAGTAGGACTGTCAACACGTCCTGGGAAGGGACGCGCTCCCCCTGAACCGATAAGTTTGAGGAATGGACTCCTCGGGCCGCTCTGAGCCCTCGACCTTCAGCGGCCACGCTAAAATAATTTCACTGTAGGCCATACGGGATATCTTTCCGTGCGTGGGAAAGTGTATTGGCATGGCGTTTATTCATGCTTCTCTCTACCCGCGTTGAAAATAATAACCTCTCGGTCAGAGACACTGCTCAAGGCCAGACAAGGCTGTCAAAAAGTAGTAGTACTCTGGACTGTGACAAATTTTGCGTTGAAAGAGTCAGCAAGCAGTCTGGCTGCAGTCACCAGGCCATGAGGTAGTGTGTACTTTTTGAATTTCAGAACTAGTTTTACAATGGTTGAAAAAAACAACATAAAACTTTAAGCTTAGGTGAAAGGGCAAACTTACAGAAGCAAGAGAAACCCAGAAGCTGTCAATGAATAAAGTTTAATATTCATTTATTTGTTATTTCCATCCACCAATAAATAATCATAAATACATGATATGTTAATTATCATTAAGACATGTTATTTACTAGAGTATGTTTCAGGATGGAAATGTTACAAGTGTCATAAAATAGACATCCTTGCATGAAACGGAAACTTCCTAATCCGGATTTGTTTGTCCCGATCGATTCCGGCTTAGACAGATTTTACCGTACAAATTAATTTTTCGACATGAGTGAGGGCACCATGGGCTTTGCAACGCGCCGCCCGCGTGGCGCCGAGTGAGCGGCGTTGCACCGTTCCTCGAGCCTGTATTTCCACCACACCTCGAGCCCTTCTTTATTACTGCGATTTTCGCAACTCTGCCCCTGGCAGAATTGCATAAATCGCGGTATGTAATACTTGAATAGCTGCTTGCTAGGCCCCGCTTGCACTCTTAATGATATAGGCAGGCAGGGCGTCGCAGTTAAAGCAGCAGAAGCATATCACAAATTATTTAAATTTATGGGTCCTTGGGAGCTAAGTGCCTTCAGAAGACTGCAGGATGGTGGATCAGCACAAGTGAAAATGAAAGACAGAATATGTTTTAGCAAATGCCAAAGCAAGAGTCCTTTACTTACACAGAAATCAAATTACATCGAAGTGACGGGGAGACCTCCGTCCAAATAAACGGTAGCTCAGAGAGTCCCCCGGGCGAGGCCCGTGGGCGTATTTTATAGCACTCAGGGCTTTATTTATATTTAGATTTATTCAGTCAAAAACAACAACAACAACAGTAAAAACTGTATGTGGCGTAGGGGGGGAAAATATTATCTGCGCACGTTTTCTTGAGTTCCAGAATCCCTTCCCGACATTTGAACGATAAATAGTTGAAAGGTGAGTAAAAGTTTAACATAAATAAATAAATTTTAAAAATCGTAAGAATAGCAATATTTGAAAAATAGTAATTTTCGTTTCTTAGTTATAGAAAACTTATTTGCATCAGTACACGAATTGCAAGTATGCTTTTTCTGCATTTTTGTTCATCAGACGCTTCCACTTGGGTGGCACGTGGCCTCGCTTCCCCAGGGCGTCGAACCACCTCTCTGTGCTCATGCCTCTATTTCGGACATATCGTTCGTCACCTTAAGGGCTGAATTCTCTTTGTGACTCCGAGGTGAACGGACGTGTTCCTGTTTCCATCCCGCGAGTGCCGAAACGTAAACCAGTGCTAACACAGTTGTTTTATAGCTAGTTATCGAAAAAATATATTCTAGTATACTTGAATAAATTGAAAGTAATTTTCATCAAATAGTGGTTACTAAAGAAAAATAATATTAACGAATTATTAAGGATGCCCGCAGTGCCATTGCCGAAGCCAATAGTAACGTCGCCAACATGATCAATATAATGAAGCTTCGCAAATCAAGCAAATAATGTTCCAGCAACAGTTAATCGAACAGCAAAACATAAGTACAAACTTCAGCATCACAAATACAACTACTTGAACAAGAATTATCGCAAAACCAGCATTTACAAGCGATGCAGCAATGGGAGCATCAACACCTGTAAGGAAACTCTATTCAAATAATACAATGAATCTCAATTAAATCTGCAAGTGGTGTCAAACTATTCTAAAGATAGAACAACTCTTCGCAAAAGTTACGTATAGAAATACAAAACGTAAAATATTGAGATCAGGACAGACGAGTCCGCCGCGAGGGAAGATAATTCTTCTTTCAATGACGTGACTACGAACATATTCTAGAACTGTTAAGCTAGACAAGAAAATGTTGAGATAACATCGAGCGACCAACAGATCTAATAACGGCAACTAAACCTTCCGCCATATTCATTCCCAGAGTAGGAGATATAACTGGAATGAAGAACATAACATCAAGAAGTTCTTAAAACTGAATTACACTTACAAATTGCCTTAATAATCAGCAATGTAAAAATAATGCCGGCAACATCCGATGATTTCGCATCGCTGTCAAGCACTTGAAAAACAATAATGTTTCATACATAGCAAGATGAAAAGAAGAATCGAGCATCAGAGTAGTTATTGAATATATATTCATCGTCAACAGATGTTCAATGCTACAAGAAGAATAGAAAATCTTGGTCACAAAGTTCCGTCAAAATTTATAATTGCTAAACATCGGAGTTACTACAGGCAGCCATTATCCATATTTTGTTGACCTAAACAAGCAACAAGCAAATAAAAGCTATTTAAGAAATAAATCGTCTTAACAAACTGTATAGTTTCGTTCGAACCTTTATAAGAAGAAGAAATAGTGACACGATGCTAAAAATGCTTGACCTATGGTCACATAACATAAAGTTATTCCACGAAACAAAAGCGAATGCCTGCGGGGAACAAGGACACGGCATTGAGATTGTATAGAGCAAAGCATAGCACTGCCCAATTGCGACGATTGCGAAGAGAAGACACCGCCAACATATCAAGAGTGTTCATATATCAAATCTTAAAAAGAAAGAGAATTTCCCTGAACCAACACAAAATATTGCAATCAAAAAATCCACAATGTCTTTCCATCAGAAAAAGACTTTCGCAAACACTTCCCAAGAAACACAGTGTCAACCTTTTTACAGTAATCAACAATCATACGCGCGAACTCTTTCTAAACAAAC